AAGGGACTGGGAGCAGGGGTTCCTAACCACAAAAAAAAAAAAAAAAAAAAAAAAAAAAATACACCAATGAAAGAGAAGAAAAGGAAGCCATCTCCTCAAGATGATAGCCTAGCCCAGCAGTTAAAACATGGTGTTCATGGTTCATCTTTCTGAGAGATGAGCAGTAGACTATGCCATCTTTTTCTTCACCCTTTTATAGTCTTGCATTGGCAAAGACATAGCAATATCTATTTCAAAGTCACAGTGGAGACAGGTTGGGAGAGCTATCCCAGAATACTGTTTCTGCTCCCTTTACCTATGTGTCTTTTTTTAAATGTCACTTAGTGATCAAACAAGCAAGGACGTGCCAGAAGCAAATGGGTGTGAGGCAGCTCCGTCTCACTGTTTTTCACAATCAGTCTAAGTGTTAACCCAAATGCTTCTCACCACCACTTGTAAGTACATGCCTGCTTGGCATGTAACGTACAGTTTGGTAGCAAACCTCTTATGAGAATTCCCGACATTTCCAACTGCCAATAGTCTGCCAATAAGGTAGAGCTTGGAAGGGGAAGTTCAAAATGGTAGGAACCACAAGTATTATGTTAATACTGCTTAAGTAGGATTTTCTTTTTTAACTCTGAAAAGTCTAGCAGATATCTGTTGAAAGGATCTGCTTGTCAAAGTATCTCTTGCCAGAAGGAAGGTAATTCTATCAATAGACAAAAACATGTCTCCAATTTTATTTATCCTTTTAAGTTCTGAAAGCACATTAAGGAAGAGTAACATTCCACTTTGGTTACAAAGTGCTAATTAATAACTAACTTCAATTCTCCCAGAGGTAAAATATTAACATTTTTTAATGAAATTAAGCATCACAATCTTCATCTTCTAATTGTTATAAAAACATTTAGCAGCTATATCTGTTTAATTATTTAGGCATCTCTTAATGGTGTAAGTCAGCGCAGTCATAAATATTTTCTGCTTTGTCCATAGACAATCAGTTAAGGATCTGTTGCTTGTAGGACTTAAATTAAGATCTATTTAAAGCTGCCTGCTGGCCACAAAATAATTACTTACGCTTGCTAATGCCTGAATCTATTAGATTTAGCAGCAAGAAGTGTTCTTTGCTTTCACAAGTAGGGGAAAGTTATTTTTCTTATATAAATTTCATTGTTAACGGTATTAGGGAGGATTAGGGTGGGGTTGAAGTAGTTGAAAATTTAATTAATCTAATCCTTTTAACAGCAATTGTTTTCATATTGATAATTCTCTGTAACAACAGTATTACAGATCACACCCATGTGAAATATTTACACGAAATATTTTAGCATATAATCTCTCCTCCAGCTTTCTCTTTCTAGATCAGTAAGGTTTTCAGCTTCTTCAGCTTTCTCTTTTTTTCTTTCTCTCTCACCACAAATGCAGGCTTTTTTCTTAGGGGACCAAAATGAAATCCTCTCCCCGCCCCGCCACTAATTTTCTCTCAATTTCATTGTCTCTCAGTAAGTTATGTTAATGGTCATCAAATCATGAATCTCCTAAAAGAGCATGAGGCTATGAAATAAAAATGGTTCAATTGATTTTTTTTTTTTTTTGGATCTACAGCCATTTGGTGTAGATTCTCATTAGAAATGATTTGTTTATTCATCCATTTCAATAAATTGCTATGCTGCTGAAATTATCACTAAGAGTAGAGTCAGATGAAGGACAAAACTGTCATTCTGGTCAAACTCTGATCATCTCCGGTGTAAATTGGGAATGGTTCTTAATCTGCTCAAATGTCACATTATCCAGGAGAGACTTTCTCTGACCTCCCAATATAAAATTACCATCAGTATCCCTCCTCCAACACCATTCTCCCCTTTAATTGGTTTTATTTTTCTCCAGAGCAGTTACCACCATCACATAGCATTATGAAACATTACGTATTTGTTTGTTTAGTGCATTTCCCTGAACTAAAATGGAAGCTCTGCTGAAAGCCAGGACTTGGATTTGTTTACTACTGCATCTTGAAAGCCAAGACAAGTGCCTTAAATATAGTAGTATAGTGAGCAATCAATAAATAATTATTGCATGCGTGAAACTTTTTTCTCATTTTTCAGGTGCCTAAAGCACCAGATCAGTGCAAAGCAATAAAATTGTCTCCTTGTCCTGGCATGCATTTTGATGGCTGACAATTTGATGTAAATGGAAGCATTTATCCTAAGCCAGCTGTCCTGCTGAGCCCCAGTGGTAAAGTGTCCTTGGGGAACAAAAGCAGAGACTGAGTGCTTTGTGTGGCCATGTCTTCATTAAAGGACTAAAACTATGAGTTGTGCAGTGCTGTCTGGCATCCACACGTTTACAATCTTAAAGAGTAATACAAAGCAGAGAATCTCAAAGGATGTTCTCCAGAACACCACTTCTAGGGCATATAAGGAGGGGTTACTAATGCAAAAAGGGGCTCCATGGTCAAATAAAGGTTCTGAAACTAGGTATTACATGAAGCTAAGGAAGATTCATAACTTCAAGACATCTTAGATGTATGATAATGCTCACTAGGGTTTTAAAACTCTTAGACTCTTCCTTTCTACTACCAATTCTGTTTCTAAGACTGGGTTGCATCACAGGTAACACCACTGACTTGGGAACTGACAAGGTCAGGTCAGGGGCAGGAGAAATGGGTGTTGGCACTGCCCCTTACTCACTTTGTTATATGACCTTGGGCAAGTTATGTAACACTTCTCTATGCCTCAGTTTTCTCTTCTGTAAAGTAGCAAAGGAAAGGATTACCCAGGATAATGTATGTAAAGTGTCTGACCCATAAGTGCTAAATAAATGATGGTTATTGTCAACACCTTTTACCGAATATCGGAATGAATGCTTTTTAGATAGATATCCTCAAGTATATTTCCTAAGACAGGTTTGCTAGGATCCACCTATACCCAGAAGCAGCCTGCTGTGCCTCCCTCTCTGTCTCAGCACCCTATCCCCCTCTGAGAAGATCTGCACATCGATGGTGAAGTCGAAGAAATGCTATCTTTCAACATGACTTAATACAAATGTTTAATAACTCACTCTGGTGTATCCTGCAGAGTTGATTCCCTGGGTTTTGATACCCTTGACCTCAGATGAAGATGCTTTTGTCAGGAGGAAGGTGGTAGCATCCGAGTTAATGATTGTGCAGATGGCTACATGCTGGTAGATTTTGAAGTGACCTTATTTTTTCAGTAAATTTCAAATGAAGGTGTGATTTGTGTAAATCTGACCCCTTCCAGTAAAATGTGCATTTACATATATTTAGAATTTATAAATCTTGACAGATTCCACAATATTTATAGCCCTCCATAAAAAGCCTTTGCCAGTTTGCAGAGCTTTGCATTTGGCTCTCTGGTATGCTTAAGAGAGTTTAAATAATAATAAATTTGGTGATATATTCCACCTGGAACAGAAACTTATTTTCCCCCCTTGGCTCGTTTTGAAGGGGATACTATAAATAGTGCCACAGACGCTGGGATCAGGAATAGGGAATTGAAATTCGAGAGAGAAGTACAGAAACATTTCCATTATCACTGATGCCTTGAATGTATTTTTAAAACAGTTCTGTTCCTCAAGTAATGTCCTTCTCTCCTTTCTCCTACCCCATCTCAATTATACTTGAGTCCCCCAAACCTGTTGCCAGCTTTAAGGTTCAGTTGCACTAATGGGAAAGAGAGAGTGAAAGTATTAGCTGACTAGGTAGGAGAAATTGCCTCTAGGGAGGCCAAAGCAATTCTCCAGTGTTCATCTTATATTTCACAGGAGTCAGCTGGTAACTGAGCGTCGAGGTCTAAAGTGTAAATTCATTATTTGAGACCCAGCTCATGCATCCTGCAGGTATGATGAAAAGCTCTCAGTTCATGAAAAAGAAAAAAAAAAAATCTAATTGTAATTACAAGAGAAAGCCTAAGGACAATGTCAGAGGGTCGATTCTTTCACTCATCCATGCTTATAATTACCCAGTGGAGGATTAGGGAGAAATGCCTGAATAGTTGACTCCAAATGATACCATTTATTTTCTTAAACACAAAATAAACAAAAATCAGGGAGCCAGCTGTTTGCCCTGGAATCATCTGATGAAACCTGAAAGCAGCTATTAGGTGTAGCATAAGTGGTGTTATAACTTGTTGCGATACAAGATTTATTCCCAGCTTCTTGTTTGAGGAGACAGCCTTTGTCAGGGAGAGATAATAGTCATGGCTAGCATCCATGGACAGCTGACTCTGGGCCGGCACAGAGCAACACATCAAGTAGCTGTGGCTCATACTTCTAATTAAGTACTGGATTTTCCTGTCCTCATAACTTAGAGCACGCCCCTGTCCCAAGTCTTTCCTATGCAATCCCCTTGCCTCTAGCTAATAGGATGGCAGATGTTTGGACCAAGCCCCAGAGCCTGTGGTATACCACATTTTAATGATTTGTGGTGAACAAAGTAAATGCTTTAAGAGCAGGCTTTATGAAGCAGGGACCTAGTTAAATATGATGGATTTGCGGCAAAGCAAGAAGCTGAATGTTGTATGGGGGTATTGTTTCCTAAACAGGGCGCAGGTATCTACGGTTCCTTGCTAATTCTAAAGGTTTGCTTGAAAAATGACTTTTTAAAGAACTGTGCTCTTGAGGAACGTCCTTGAGGCATGGAGGAATTTCCTTGCTTTCCTATGGCATCTTTCTGAGAGGACACAGAGGTATTGAGCTGTTAGACAGTTGCTCAGTGTCTTTGTGCTTCTGGGACCACATTTTGGGTCTAACACATATGGGATAAATAAACTGTTTTCATTCCTTAAAGCCCATGGAAGGAAACCAGACAAGAAAATTACCATGTTGCCTCATTTTTTTAGCTATTAAAGAGGAGAATCCAGTTAGGGCAAATAAAAATGATTACTGCAAACAGGACTCCCCCCACCCTTTCTTTCCTTCCTAGCCTTTTACTCAACAACAGCACTATAGCAAGACTTGTGTCAAACCAGTTTTTTGATGCACCCTCTCCTGTTCTTCTTCCATAGGGCAACCCCTACATGTGCAATAATGAGTGTGATGCAAGTACCCCTGAGCTGGCGCATCCCCCTGAGCTGATGTTTGATTTTGAAGGAAGACATCCCTCCACATTTTGGCAGTCTGCTACTTGGAAGGACTATCCCAAGCCTCTCCAGGTTAACATCACTCTGTCTTGGAGCAAAACCATCGAGCTCACAGACAACATAGTTATTACCTTTGAATCAGGGCGTCCAGACCAAATGATCCTGGAGAAATCTCTCGATTATGGACGAACATGGCAGCCCTACCAATATTACGCCACAGACTGCTTAGATGCCTTTCACATGGATCCCAAATCCGTGAAGGATTTATCACAGCATACGGTCTTAGAAATCATTTGCACTGAAGAGTACTCTACGGGATATATGACAAATAGCAAAATCATCCACTTTGAAATCAAAGACAGGTTTGCGTTTTTTGCTGGACCATGGCTACGCAATATGGCTTCTCTCTACGGGCAGCTGGATACAACCAAGAAACTCAGAGACTTCTTTACAGTCACAGACCTGAGGATAAGGCTTTTGAGACCAGCGGTTGGGGAAATATTTGTAGATGAGCTACACTTGGCACGCTACTTTTATGCGATCTCAGACATAAAGGTGCACGGAAGGTAAGAAAACATCTGTCTGACTTGAATGGAATGGTTGTTCCAAGAAAATGCCAGTGTGTTGGTCCCACAGCTGTGGAGTGACATGTGACACTTCTACTACAACATTTCCTCAGGAACACCAGTCTAGAGCTAGGTTTGGAGAAATTTGAGACCCTTCTTACTCAGCAGTAATTTGTGATCCCAGACTCACTGTCAGTGAACCTGAACCTGGCAGGATTTCTTAGAATTTAAACAGAAAGGGGGGGGAGGGGTGCGGGTAGTAGCATCTTATTTGAGTCCAAGGAACTCCCTAGATCAGGGGGTGGTTTAAATCTTTAAGGCATTGAAGCCAGGAGGGACAAAGTCAGCTGCTTCATAAAAGATAACGGGAAAACAAGAAATACGTCTTTCCATTGTTTTCAAATGCCAGACAGGGTTTCAATGTGGTACATCTCTCTGTTTACGTTTCATTGTATTGCACCAAAAAAAGCTTCTGAACTGTAAATTATATCCCTTTAAATGTATTAAATCAGAACCAAAAGTGTTTAGGAAGCACAATGCATTTGCTGAAAAAGGAGTGAGCTCTGCTTTTCAGGCTTTTGGTGGTTATTGCCTTAAAAAGATATGCTGCCACTTAAATATGGACCTGAGGCAGGCTCCCCTCATTTTTTGGGGTCAATTACGGGTGGACCAGAGTTTAAATCCATTAGCGGTCACTGTCAGGCATATCTTTGATTTTGATAATACATCAGAGACACACTTGAGCAAGTTTCCAAGAATTTTGAGGATGCTTTAATGAAAAACTCAAGTCATAAGAACCAGGACGACTAAGGTAGAGCTGTTCAACCAGATTTCTAACTGTTTTACGGTTGGTATCCAAATAACCAACTGATGGGAGTCGAAGCATGAGGTAATTAGTCAGGAAAACTAAAGATGAGTGAGGTATACAGCAAAATGGAAAAAAGAGAAAGCAAAGCAACAATCATTCTAAAAATGCAGAGAGGTTCACGTCAGAATATATGAGGTTAAGAATATAAACAGCCCATAAGTCATGTAGGTTTCATTAAGCAATCCTAAAATTTAAACAAACACAGCAGGCTCCAGCATCCCTTAGGACAGCCCAGTCCTCAGAAAGTGGAGAAGGGTTGAGACTCCCTGGTCTTTCTGAAAGTTGACTCAATCTATCTTTTGATAATAGTGTTGTTTTATTTGTACACTAGAAGGAAGGAGAGGTCACTGATGTTAAGGTAAAGGTTATAATGGGCACACAGAACGGAGTGGTGGGCATAACCTCAGTGTGGTAGTAGAGGTTTCAGATTCTGAACCGTGGAAAGTAGCAGGAACTGGTGGCCACCTCCTCTCAGCTTTGTTCCAGCTTCATGTTCCTCCTGGAAGAGTCAGGAGTCTTAAGCAATGGAGCCTCTTTAAAAATTGTTAACTAAGGTCTTGGTGACATATGATGAAGATGCCTTGAAAGCAAAATAATATTTCTGAGAGAAATAGGCACTGGTAAACACTGAGCTTGTGGGTTCCAGGGTGTAGAGGAAAGTTCACGTATTAGCAGGGCACCACGAGAGGGCAATCTGGAACTGTGGCCTGAAATATGAATTGGCTATTTATAGTAAAATGTAGCCATTATACTCATAAACATTTTTGCAAGAGGTCATCAGTTTCCAGTTCTTATTCTTGGGGACTGTAAAATATAAAAATAATTGATGTTGATATTATTAACAATAGCATTCTATAACAAAGTAACAAGTATTCTGTTCCTCTACAAGAATAAGTGTCAAAATTCATAAGCTGAGGTTTGAATTTGAATCCTAGTGTGATCTACATTGTTAGATAAAATCACCTAATTCAGTTTTCTTGCAGTTTGAGAAATTTTTAATCCAAAATCCTTAGAGTCCAACTTGTGCAAACACTATCATCTTCCACTTGTAAAGAAGGCAATCTTGTGAAGCTTTCGGTTGGGAAGTAACCATTGTTGGAGCTTATTTCTGTTACTGCACATTCATTTTTGTTTCTCCTGATTATTAAAAAAAAAAGAGAGAGAGAGAGTATAAATACACTTTAAAGCCACAGGCATTTTTATGCATTCCCTGTGGGGGTCACTTAAAAGTGGCATGTTAGAAAAGTAGACTCCCACCAGATTTCCCACGTTTCTTTTATCCCTGGTCCTACTAGTATCCTCCAACTGCATCTCAGGGGTTCTGGAGAGTTTGCAGGAACCGTCCTCCCTTCTCTGGGACTCACCTCTGCTGTCTGTTCCTGTTCACCAGTCAACCGTAAGCTAGTGAGGAAGCAGCTGGGCAAGAGAGAAAGGTCCAGTAGAGGTGAGCTCCTTCCAGGTCCCTCTCTGTCGCCTCTAAATTCTGTCCAAATTCCTCAGGGCAAAACTGATGCCGGCGTGTACCGTGCTAGGCACCAGATGGCCGGGGTATTTTTATCTTAGGGGAGGGACTAAGGAAGCAAGGCCTGACGGCTCGGGCGTGTCTCCAGCTTCTAAGTTATATAAGGGAAATGGAAGCAAAAGGGAGTGGTTGAGCTGCTACTGGTGCGTGGGTCTTTCAGCACAGAAGCTGATACGTACATCTTACCCTTGGAAACTTCAGTAGGGTTAGCGGTCGAGGTCGTCTCTTTCTTATATAGCAAATCATCTGTAGAAAGATTGACTATTAATTGATGATGTCCAGGGCGCCTGGGTGGCTCAGTTGGTTAAGCGACTGCCTTCGGCTCAGGTCATGATCCTGGAGTCCCGGGATCGAGTCCCGCATTGGGCTCCCTGCTCGGCAGGGAGTCTGCTTCTCCCTCTGACCCTCCTCCCTCTCATGCTCTCTGTCTCTCATTCTCTCTCTCGCAAATAAATAAAATCTTAAAAAAATAATAATAATAATAATTGATGATGTCCAAAAGAAAGTTGTAAGAGTTCCTTTTCAAAGACTTCATCAATAGAAACTTTCCAAAATATAACCAGGCCTTTGTCTCCCTCAACCCTCTCTTCGCCATCGTTGAAATGACTGCAACATTTAACACACCATTACGTGTCTATATCTGATCATTATAATGATACTTTTTGACTTCTCACTCTACTACCACCCACACCACAATGTGGGAATTGGCATGAATTATTTGGGGAAAGTGGGCAGATATCCATAAAAGAGTGGGCAGGCAATACAAGATTTTTCAGCTATGAAACAAATACAGGTGGAGAATCTTTGAATTGACAATGAAGTCCAATTCTCAGCTTCTCGTGCATGTGTGCATCCGGCCTTTATGTTTCATACTGGCTACTATTGTTTGGTGTGAAAGTGATGCTTTGATTGTTATTAGACTAATGTAGCGTTTATGTTTTTAGCATTTGACACGTCTCATACCTATTTACTGGTGACAAAAACTATAATCCCATCATAAAAATTTTATGCCTCTTTGGCCACATACTTATTTTGCTTCCATTTACTCCCTCTCATTGTGTATTTATTAAGATAATGGAGGGAAAAGAGGAAACATGGCTGTTGGCAATCTCAGCGACTCTGTAGTACTTAACATTGTTCAGTAAACCTAATAATCTTCATGGACTAATTCTGACTTATGGATGTCCTACTTCAGTAAATCAGGGTGATTTTCTCTAGTGAATAATAGACGAGTGTAGTATGCCAGTACCTTAATTAAAGAGTAGCTCTCTTAGTCTTGATCTCATTTTAATTTACAGGGTAATACTACAATAATATCACTAATGGAAGGTACATTAAAGGGCATCAAGTAGCATTAACTGTATTAAATTATGGTACTTGTGTTAATTAACTGCTGAAGCAAGATGGTTCTAATGGCCAAAAAGGTTGTCTAATGCATAAATAAAATCTACCCAGATGAGGGGTGAGAGGAGAAATGAAGCGTAGATATTTGTTCTGAACTTCTTTTTATACAGAGAGTTCAATTCATAGGCTGTTAAATATAGATAATGTCCAAAATGTTTTCCTAGTTACACAATTGGAAGTTTTGATTTTTAAATGTTTTGTTTCCTTCTAAGCTTTCCATAATTAAATCAATTGAAAAGCTGAACACTATCTTTGTCAGATGCATAGATTTCATAACTCAGCATTTTTTATTGTTTTTTATTCTTTCTTTGAGATGAACATTTTCAAGGAAGTAATGTGATTTATTGTAATAATTGTTAAATCTATGGGGCGCCTGGGTGGCTCAGTTGGTTAAGCGACTGCCTTCGGCTCAGGTCATGATCCTGGAGTCCCGGGATCGAGTCCCGCATCGGGCTCCCTGCTCGGCGGGGAGTCTGCTTCTCCCTCTGACCCTCCTCCCTCTCATGCTCTCTGTCTCTCATTCTCTCTCTCTCAAATAAATAAATAAATAAATCTTAAAAAAATAATAATAATAATTGTTAAATCTGAAAGACAAATGAACATTTGATAATGTGCTCATTTATCTGTAAGATGTGATACCAGCAATGTATCAGGGTACTGATTTCAGACATGAGATAATAGAAAATCTTTTTCAACCTCAAAAACCCTAGGACAGAATTGTCAGAACTTTTCTCAGGGGCCTAGAAAACTCTAACCCACATCTCCATTACTTGCCTTGTTACACAATATTTCTGAACATAATTATCAATAATTTTTTATCCGTGGTGCTTATTCATCTCTTACCCTTTGCAGGGCCTACACAAGCACCTCACAGGTAGTTGGCGGTCCCTTCCTGTTTACAGAATTGATTTTGCCTTCTGTGCCTCCATTGTTTATCTCCAAGGAAGAAGCCAGGGGGCGCTAGCTCAGAAGTTCCGTTTACGCACCCTGTTGGGTGTCTTCACCTTACTACTGCCCCAGCTCAGAGCGACACCCTCCCTGCCTAATCCCAGAGTCTGCAAAGCTACGGGGACAAAACCACTCTAAGTGGGTGTCTGGAGTGAGAAAGGCCCCCGACATTCTCGCCCTCAGGAGAAATCAGATATATTTGTAAATGCTCACTGTTTGAATGTCACCGCCGTGGCATTTGCAGTAATTAGGACAAAGTGAGGTTGAAATTCCCTTTCTTGAAGCTAGGCATTCAAATCGTTAGTGCAAAAAACATGTGCTATTAGGTAAGCAATGACACGGGGGAAGTTTAAAAGTATCAAAACCGTAGGGTATTTCTTCAAATTTTCTCAAATAATTTGGGGAAAAAATCATGTGATGTGGAAATGCTCTGCCAGTTACCAAAGGCTTACCAGTTACCCTGCAAGTTCTCTAACCACAGGGTTTTCCTAGCCAACATTTGAATAAATCTACCAAAATATTTACTTTTCACTTCTCCTGTGAGAGGCGTCCTGCAAGGCGCTTTGGAAGCATTGGACCTGGCATTGGTTCATTCTTCTCAATTAGTCCTAATTTTTGAGGTTGGGCAGTCCTACTGCTTAACAGATTCTGCTTTTATAACACCTTCCTTCTTTCTGTCACCAAAGAATACTTATTTTCCACTCTGGGACAGACACTGGGCTAGACAGCTGGTATATAGAGATGCACAAGGCGTAGTCAACGCTCTCACGGAGCTGAAACCAATGGGCACAGACAGACATGGAAACAAAAAAATGATGACAACTTGGGTTAAGTGCTTTTGCCACGTGAATGTGTGAAGTGCCATGATGACAGGGAAGGATATACTAATTTAATCTGAGAAGCCTAGGGAAAACTTTGATGAGGATGCGACATTTGCATGGCAACGTGAAACTGGTGCCGTGGAATGCCAAGTAGCCAGGGCGGAATGGCTATTCTAGGTGACCGATTATGCTTAAGAACAGCACAGCATGTTAAGGAAATACAAGTAGTTGGGAACTGGCAGAATGGACAAATCCTGGGAGATGCCCTTTCATCTTCTCTCTGTGGATCTTCAGCATCTCCAAGAAGCACTGAAGGATTCCTGTGTCTTGGCCTCTGAGCACCCCATGTCCTAGGAAATCTAAAGTGATATGGATTCTCGTAGCAACAAAGCGCAGGTGAGAAACATGGTAAGGCAATGGTATTAGAGGATATTTGAGTGCAGCTGTGGTCAGCGAGGAACTCCAGGAGAGAAAGGAGAGCGGTAACGTGGCTCAGCGGGGAAGCAGCTGTAACTCCAAGTCCTGATGCCCAACTGGGGAGTCCAGAAAAGCTCTCTAAATCCCACAAAAGCCATCATCACATAAGGATATGAAAGAGCTCCGTACCAAGACAATAGGACTTGGTGACCGATCAGATTTTGAGGAAGGAAAGGCTGAAGGAAAGACTTTGGTAGGAATCCAAGTGGAGAGTCCAGTCAAGGATTTAAACATACTGCTCTGGTGTTGCAGAGAGATTTGAGTTAGAAATATAGGTTTGAAAATTATCACCTTCCATGTGATGGTTGAAGTTTAGGGAATGGATGACAATGATATGATAGGGTGTTTTCCCTTACAATTATGAATGACTATGGTCACTTATAGGAACTCTGTGGAATACTGTCACATAAGATGCAATTTCTGAAGGAAATTGAGAAATAATCGGGGAATAGGAGGAAATCAGAAAAGGGGGGATGAATTAAGGTCATTCTAATAGCCCCATTAATATTTAAGTAACAATCCTTTACATTTGTATGGCACTCAGGTTACAAGGTTCTTGGCATGTAACTTCTTTCTTTGAATCTTCACAAGAAACTTGTGAGGCAGGTATTATTGAACCCCATTTTTCAGATGAGAAACCTGAGGAATGGAGAAATTCCTTGACTTTTTTTTTTAAACGTCCCATACATAATAAAAGGACAAAATCATGTTGCTAATTACAAACCTCATGCTGTCTACCTTATGCTCTTCCAGCCACACTACCCTGAAGTGAGCTCAATCCATACAGAAGACCTAGAATATTCCCAAAGGAGTCATCTTTCAATGGCAACAATGAACCAGGGAGTCAGTGGCTCTGCCCTTCTTGGAATGTTCTGGGAGTCACCCTCTCCGTGACTCTCGGCTCTGTATTTCACTATACCAGATCGCTGTGTTTATCTGAACCCTAACTTCTTAACTCATTTTTATCAATTTTATAATGCATGATTGGGCTAATGTGTCATGTTGTATTAGATCTAGGTGCTTCACGGCCAAAATAAAATTCTGATGTTAGTTTCTTGTTTTCTGAGGGGAGAAAAAATAAAGAAATGAACTGAATTTTCTACATGTTAATTTCCTCCCCATATTTTTCCATAAACTTCTAACACCTGCAGCCACTTCTGCTTAATGGGCACCATCAAACACAAAACAAACCACAGATATTAATGGATAAACTTGGAAATGACCAACTACCCTAGCTTATTTTAAGAGAGTTTACCTTTCAATTGAGAATAATCTGCTTTTCCTTTTAACTTCCATATATTAGTCCACATTATCTCTTCTGGAACTATAGTAAGTGTACTACCTCTTTCATATAACAATATT